TTATACTTTCCAGTTTCATAGAAAAGCAATCTACTTTGTTTTCTACCACTTTTAGCTTCATCCGTCTGAAACCTAGAAGACATGCCTAATTTAAAGCGAGACAAATCAGGTCTGAACTCTTTCTTCCTTCTCTCTCATGGTTATGTTTCTTGAAACTATAGCATCCTCATTACTGAGCTAGGAAGCTATGTCTTCTTCTGTAGACGTTGTCAGTAGTTTAGAGTTTTTAAGATCATTTAAAAGAATCCTTTTGCATATAGCCTAGACCTTTGCTTATATTATCGAATCAGATGATGAAAGGTTACTAAAAGTAATGTTTGTTTTTGTTGTTATTGTTATTGCAGTTACTTTTTCGAAGAAAAAAGAAGAAAGAAAGGGAAGAAGCACAAGGAGACTATTTTAATGGAATCAAAGAAGCTGTCGAGAAATATAATTATGTCTATGAATTTTCTTTATCAAATTCAAGGAGTTCAAACTACAGTTTAGACACAATGGAAGGTCAGTTTCTTTGTTTTTTTTATAACTACGAGTAGATGGGCGTTGCTTGAATGTAATTGAGATGGTTCTTATTGGTTCAGGTTCTTCTTCAGCTCAAACAAAGTGATGAGGGTTGGTCTGGGTCGTTCTGCCTTCTAATCCATCCCACCATCTTGATTCTTTAAAGCCTCCAAGGTTGTGTACCTTGCTTCTTTACCATAGTTGATTTATTTGGTCTTTTCCCACCAGTTGCGTTTTTACATATGTTTAATGAAATATTTTTTCAGCTGCTGCTTGGTGATGTTGAACTTCGTATTATGGATATGCCAAAAGAAGAGGTTGAGAGGGTATCATCACTCCCGAAGCCCTCTTTTGTTTTTTCCCTCATCTTCGGTGAAAACAATAGTGAACGGCTTAAATGTAACCATCTCTCTCATGGCTTTCCAGTATCTTTAACTCTTTATTGTAACTATTTCAAAATGTTTTTTCTGGTTATCATTGTAGCTTATTTAACGCTTATGAAGATTAAGAATTTTCAAGGACTGAGCACAGCAGTAGAAACGGGTTGTGACCAAAACAACTGCTGATAAGAAACAAGCATGACTTTTTATTATCATTACTGATAACTCTGTTTTTGTAGAATTAATTACGAGAGTTACCCTCGACTTAATAGTTTTTGAAGACTGAAAAACTCTTTTTTGGGTAAACTGAGACTAATGAAAACCTCTTTCTCCTCAATCTTCTCGCATTTTGATAAATAAAACATTATATTCCAAAAACTTTCTTTTTATATGCTTTCTAAATATTGAATTTCAATAATATGATTATATTTTAAAAATGATTTCGTAAACAAATGTGACTTGATACGAAAATATAGCATATAATATATTTTAAACATGATATATGTATATATACTAAATAAATCTAAAATACTTAACTAAAAGTAAGATGATTCCTTTTAATACTAAAATTTATAGTAAATTTGTTAAATAACAATAGATTAACTATATATTATATAAACAATAAAAAAATATAAAATAAAATACAAAAGTAATATAAAAATAAATCAATCACTGATTATAAAAATATTATATTTCTTTTAAAGAAATAATCAGTTTGGATAATATGATTATTTGATATTTCAAATAAATGTGTATACTTTAAAATAGGAACGACGAGTATTATATTTTTGTACTATCTAGCTAATTAAAAATTATAGTAAATCTTTATTTTATTTTTTTATATTATGTAAATAATATATTTAAAATAATGTATAAATAAAACTGAGAGATTCAATGGGTTTAAAGACAAAATTAGAAGTAGAAATAATTTATAATTCATAAAGTGGATTTGAACAACAATAAAAAACAATCAAGTAAATAAATGTATTTTATTTGCGGATTAAAGAGAGAATGAACATTGAAGAAATGTAAAATATTGACAATTGCATCATTACATTTTAAAATTCAAAAAAATTATTATTTTCACCAATAATAATTTAAACTAAACTAAATATTTAAAAATGTATTTTCCAGTTGATATATTTTTCAATTGTATACCCGCCCGTAGGGCGGGTTTGGTCCTAGTAAATAATATAAAAACGACAGAGAGTTTTAAAATTGTAGAAATAGATGTATCTGATGTTTGCTTTTTTTTTTTCATTTCTTTTTCTATTTTTCTGATCTTAAACGTTGTTTTACGATGAGTTTCTGAAGCAGTCTCTTGGAAGTTATGGTTCAGATTTACTCTTTCGGTTCATGTGTTTTGTATTGGAGTTGTGCTAGACGCCGTGGTGGTGTTTGTGGTACGGAGGGTTGGGTTTCAGTGTTGGCTTGTGTGACTCAACCTCCTCAGTGATTCTTTTTGGTATTTTTGTTCTACAACAAGTTTTAGATATGGCCTTGTTCCGGATTGGAAGTCCAATGGTTAGATGCATGATTGATCGAGCTAGAAGATTGACGGTGTGTTTTTTCTCATTGGATACATAACAACACCTCTCTATTTTCAGTGTTCTCAGTTCAGTGGTCATTGTTTAAAGATATGATCTGCAACCTCAAGCTGTTATTCGAGCGGTGAAGATGATGAACTACATACGGCAATCTCTGGTTCATCATGTTTCACGTCATAGCACACTTTTATGTTTCAATTAAGATTTATTGGTATGCTTATTTTTCTTTAGAAAATTTTCTATTACCATACACTAGTAAAAAAACTGCTCACAGCTACATTTTATTTCATAGCTATAACATAAATTTCGTAGCTATATACGAGGTTAGCTACGAAACGCTACGAAAAGCATAACGTAGCTATACGAGCGTAGCAAAAAATTCAACGTATCAAAAATCGTAGCAAGTTGCTATGATTTGCTACGAAACGTTTGTAGCATACTATAGCTACGAAGTGCTACATTTTAATCGTAGCAAGATAATAGCTATGAAATCCAACGATCCCTTCCATATCACTGTGCTACGAATTTGCTACATTCCTTCGTAGCATATTTGCTACATAATAGAAACGACCATTTTCGTTTCAAATCTGGTTTTGTTCAAACAATAAATGAATTTCGTGGCTAATTAAATCTTTGATTTTTTTTTTTGGAAATATTTAATTTGTAATGATAATATACTACAATCAAAATAATTATGAAAATATCATAAACTAAATATATTACATAGAAGTAAGAGTTTTACATCATCCAAAAGATAAGCAACCAAATTACACAAAATAACATGGTTCAAAAGATGCAAGGAACTAAATTACACAAAATAAGATTGTTCAAAAGATTGAAACATCAAATTACATACCAAGTTCTTTTTGGCACCACCTATCTAAGTCAGATTGGTTAACAGTGGTGAGATGTTCTGGCTGAGGATGAGACTGACCTTGAGCTTGAGGCTGAGTCTGACTTGGTTGTGCAGAAGGAATGGAAGCTTGTGGCTGAGGCTGACTTGGTTGTGCAGAAGGAATGGAAGCTTGAGGCTGAGGCTGAGCTTGAGGCTGCCTTGGTTGTGCAGTTGAGGCCGTAGGAATGGAAGCTTGAGGCTGGAGACCTTGAGATAGAAGAACTTGCAGAATCATGTCCATACTTTGCTCTTGCTGCTGACATCTCCTCCTTGAATTCAGTCTTCAAACCACAGATATCAGCCTTAACTTCAGCAATGGTTGTCTCCATGCCACAAACGCGCATCTCCATGTCCAGATTGCGCTGCAGTGTGACCTGAACTGGAACAGAAGGAGTGCTGTTCTTGAACTGAACACTTCCAAGGCCGTAGACAGTGCCTTTTCTGGTTAATCCTCTCTGCAAAGGAAAGCAAAAAGCATCATAAGCAAGCAACTACCAGATCCACGAAGATGAGGATATGACTTCTATCTAATAAAAACACTAAGCAGAATGAATCTATAGAATAACCAGACAACCAAACATGACGACCATAAAATTTTTACCAAGTAACAAAATAGATAAACATGTCCAAATAATCAACCAGGGTAGATAGACACAAAAAGAAAACTCTAAACTCCTTTGGATTGGGGAAAAGATAGATATAAATGATTTATTTATTAATTAATATCATTCATATACAGCCAAACAATTACCAGATCCTATCTCAAGTTAGATAACTAACTAAGACATTCAAGTACCAGCAACAAGTAAGAAGGAATAAACATAATGAAGAGGTGCGATGATTACCTTGATGTATTCTTGGTTGAGCAGAAGGCGCTTTGAATTTGAAGTACCAGCAGCAGAGTCACTGTC